ACACACACACACACACACACACACACACACACACACACACACACACAGAGTGCAGTGATGCACAAAAAACAAACTGCACCAGATCAATATGATATTTCTTGTTAAAGAAAACCTTGTTTTATGTACATCTTAACACATGCACAACCCACACATATGCACAGGGGGAGAAAAACAACACACAATTTCCTGTGTTTGATGTCAACAGTCATTTGCCAGCAGCCTGCCATCACCATCTGAAGATTAAAAAGAAAGTGGGGGAACGACAGAAAGTGTGTGTGCGTGTTGCTTACAGAACAAAGGTGGATTGAATAAAATGAATGCAATTGTCCCGGAGAATCAACTGAGTGCTCTCTCTTACCTTATCTCAAACACACACACACACTTCTGAGTGCTGCTGTGTTGTGGTAGAGTACGAGCAAAGTGTCATATATGGAAAACAAAGCTATAGAGGCAGAAGTGACGGCAGAAAAAAAGAGAAGGAGAGAGAGAGAGAGAGAGAGAGAGAAATGAAAACGTATGGAGCGGGACAGTGAGATACTGGAAAAGAGAGATCGAGTGAATTAAGATGGATGGAAAAGAAAACTGCAGCTGAAAGACAAGATAATATTTCTCATTTTTCAGTAGGTGGTCAGCGAGAGGGAGAGAGACAGTGAAAGAGAAAGAGACAGAGGGTGAAAGACAGAGACACAGAGAGAGAGAGAGAGAGATGTGAAGAGGTGAAGCGTAACAGTGACAGAGAGGAAGAGGAGATAAGAGAGAGAAGGAGAGAAAAGGAGGAGAGGACAGGGAAGGGTACACTAAAACATGTTATGCACGGACACAGCCAACAGCGGCATGGCGGAGTATGTGTGTGTGGGCGTGCTTTACCCATCTTGAGGGACCATAAATGTGATTACACAGTGTGGGGACTCGCCTTCTTTTTGGGGACAAAAGGCACGTCCCCATAACATAAATCCTTACATTTTAGGGTGAAGACTTGGTTTAAGGTTATGTAAGGTTAGGGCAGGTTGAAGTTAAAGTTACGGTTTGGGTAAGTCTCCAGAAAATTAATGAATGTAATGTCCCCAAAAGTCATGAAAACAACACTGTGTGTGTGTGTGTGTATTTATATATGAGAGAGAGCGATAGAGAGAGAGAGAGAGAGAGAGAGAGAGAGTGCCTGTGTGTTTGAACATTTCAAGCAAGAACCGTTTTTACAGTAAATGTAGAGATTGGCTTAGTTTGTGTTGAGAAATGAATGACAATTATGGAAATATTTGAAACCCAGAAAAATCAGCAGTGAATGCGACGATGTAATTTGTGTTCATGTTACTTTGTCTTGAGAGTCACAATGCTGGCAGCTGCATGTAAAATGATATTGGTCCTCCAGCTGTCTCTGTCGATCTTCAGTCAACGACAACGTCTCAATGTAACTTATAGTCAGCTGAAAACAGAGAGAACAGTTTAGTTTGCCTTTTTGCTGTACTATAGCTGAATGCAGTTAAGTGCAGGAGGATAAATCATTTTAAATCTAAATTGTGTCGTTTGCTTTTGGTGGAAAGAGGTACTGGAGTAAAGTGTGCGTGTATATCTTCCAGATGGCATGGACGCATCTCATTACATAGTCAGGAGGGATGGTGACGTATGGACAATGAGGGGAGACACTGCCAAGTCCCAGTGATATTTCACTTGGCTACAATTTTTAGGAATACTCTAATAACATTAGGTGTATTGTTCTTCCATCAATATGTGTTATTACTTCTACAATAAAAAATTCACCCAATAACAATAGAGTGATTTTATGTCAATGTAAAATATGGTTCAGATTATGTATCATTTAAAACAGCCTTAGGCATCGTCTCCTCCTTCAATAACAGCAGCAAATAAAAACATTCAATAAACATTGCTCACGAAGAACATGAACATAAAAGCAGAGGCAACATCACAGTCGATAAAATCAGAGTCATATTCCATGTTGTTAATGTTTTGAAGGTGAAGTGTGAGTGTTTTTTTTTTAATGCAGTACCTCCTCTTTGGGGTTGATATCCCGAACAGCTCTGAGCTGCAGTTTTGTTCCCACAAACACCATCACACAGTTTGGCCGACAGTCGTGGTTCAGCAGAGATAAACTGGGAGAGAGCAAACAAGATGACGAGGGAGAGACAAAAGAGAGAGAGAATTATATCTGTGATTCAATTCTTAACTTTCAAACCCTTCCTGGCAAATGAAAAGAGAAGATGATAAAGGTTGAGAAGCAACCTACAGCCCCATCCTGCTGAGCCACCAACTGCCACATGTCCAACTGTTTAGAGGTTTCTCAACTCATTGAGACCGATGTGGACTGAAACGGTAATTTGTTCCAACATATTCATGAGAGAAAACACACATGCTGAGTGACACATCTCCCTCAAGATCACCATCCATCCATCTACAGTATCAGCCAGTCAGTTTAGTGTGGCAGCTGCAGGATACCATATGTCTTTCATCCCTGTATCCAAGGTGCTGTTAGGGGGTTAAATATCATCTGGCAGCTTCTCATAATGGGAATCCTGCGCATACAAGTAAAGACTGAGTTGCACAAATGAACCTCAGACAGAAAGTTACAAACACGTGGACACACACACAGACACAGATAATTCCCTGCACAGTGTGACAAAATGAGGACTCTGCTTCTGTCATAACAAATGTCACTCTCCATTTCTTTCTGCCGCTCTATCGGCCTCAGACACATATCCACAAATAAATCAGGAAACGACGGGTACTCCACTTCTGTCACAACAAAGACTCATTTCCTAATTTTCAAAATAGATACAGCCAATCCTCCTACTCACCCACACGCACACTAACTGACAGTGTCGGCATCATAATACTGATGCCACATATTGTTGGTTTTATTTATACTTTGATTTAAGGCATGAAGAGCTTTTCCCTTGCACTTAATATTACCAGTAATATCTTCCTGGATTTTTATTATAATCCGAATGAAACAGCATTTTAGACAATATTAGAAAACATGTGTACGCAGTGGTTAAACTGGGATTTGTTATATGGGGGGGGCTCCGTGGTTTTGTTAGAGGGGTCCGAGGGGATCCTCGACTGGGACTATTTGTTTTATAAACAATCTGTGTTTTGATACTTTTTCATGCATCTTATTGACATTGAAAAGTCTTAATCATGAATTCTGATGTATTATTATAGATGAAACTACCCAACAGTATATAAAGTAATGAACATTAGTTCCACCATTACCAGCTGCAACATTAAAGTGATGAATACATTAATGCATCACTTTAATGATGCTAATACTTACTTTTCTACTTTTACTTAATATTTTGAATACAAGATTTTACAAGAATAACAAAAATATTTCACACTGTAGTACTGCTACTTAAGTACTTAAGTAGAGGTTGGAGTACTTCTTCCCCCACTAAATGTCAACATTAGTTTATTGAAATGTTAAAAGGCTTTTGGAAGAATGGTGTAAGTATGATGTGTTTCCCAAATAATAATGACATATTAACATTGTGGCGGCAGGATGTACTGCAACACAAGGAGATTTAATGGGAGAGAGGTTGGATTCATCCAAATCAGATTTTGTTGACCTAACAAGTAACACATTACTCATGTGATATTCAATGAATGATGCCTTTGACTTACAGTAAAAACACATGTAGTTCCCATGTATTAGGTAGACTAAATATTAGAAACACTTCTTAGTTCAACAGCACCACAAACCACAGCCTCCAACATGAACTGAATCAACACCCCTGAGTATCATAAGCTCCATAAAAGTAATATTTATGTAAACTGTTGTATTAGACTGCATTAGCTTTAGCGAGGTGTACCTAGTAAATGGGTGAGTAATTGTCATAAAAATGTCTTATATGTGCTCTTCACTTCATGAATTTAAAAGATGAATAAGGCTTAAAAATAAAAGAATGTAACTCTATTGAATAGTGGTGATTTGACTTGATTGTAAAGAATGTGCAGCTTTCCCATGCTGAGACTGTAATTGTTATGAATGTTGATGATTCTTTTTTTAAATTAAGTACTTCAAAACCTCCCTGACCCATAAAAAGACATTAACTGTCACTGCGCACATGGCCGGGAATAAATACTGAAGACGTTTGTCTGTTTTTATGAGACCCTCCATTACTGCTGTTCCTGTTTATCATATTCATAGAAGAAAACAATGGATGCAAGAGATAAAGAGAGTGAGTGTGTGTGTGTGTGTTGAGCCTTTGTAGAACAGTAGACCCCTGGCTTTGTTCTACAGTAGAGAAGTTGTGGGTTGAATATCAACTAGAAATCAAGCCCTCCAAACGATGCTTTTATCTGATGGAGAGCAGCTCATTAGTATACTAATTCGATTAATTAACTAAACCACATCTCACATTAACAATATCTGCTCCCACTAACAGAAGCTGTTGCTGAGTGCAGCAGGATAGAGAGACAACTACAGTGGAGACAGTAGAGGAACAATCATTGATTATATTTAATAAAAGAAAGGGTTAAATACTCTCTTCTTGTCACGATCAGGCTTTGCCTTCTGTGTTCTGTGTGTTCTGTGTCTTTGTGTGTTTCTTTCTGTAGCTCCTCACTCTACCTATCAGCCACTCCCTCAGCACCAGTCTAACTCCCTTCACCTGCCCCTGATCACTAATCAAACACTCCCTCATCAGCACAACTCTCCTCACCTGTGCTAGCCACTATTTAAACCCCTGCCTCCCAGTCACCCACTGCCAGATCATTGTTTGTGTTACCCGCCTGTTTGTCGTGTCCTGCTCCCGGTTTCCCACATCTGCCTGCCCTGTCTTGTCCTGCTGGGTTTGCCCCCTCGTCTCTTGTCTCGTCCCTGGATTCCGTGTGTGTTCTTGTAGTGTTCACGTTCTAAGTTAAGTGTTTGTTAAATTCCATTTCACTCAACTTCTGGTCTGCGTTTGAGTCCACCACCATGCTCCGTGACACTTCTCTTTGTTACTGTTTCCTGCATATTCATTTTTCAGTCCTTGTTGAGAAGACGTGGTTCAGTACTTTACTACATTAAATGGCACTAAAAATAAGAAATGGATGTAGTGCAAAGCCTTCACATGATACTTACAGAAATGTCAGGACTTAAATAACAAGTTGAGGCCCGACTGTTTGCAATCAACAACTGATATTCTGTATACACCAGACTTTAGACAAGGTAGGCAACTGCCTGGGGCACCCAAATAAAACACCAAACACCTCTACATTTATTATTATGGCTAGATATGAAAAGCATTAAAATATGTTACTAATCTAAGTCATTGTACCCCGAAATAACTTACAAAAGGTCCCCAAAACACTGCAACTGTACTTACTTTGTACTTCTACATCAGAGGAAGACAACATTTTACAGATTCAGATTTGACTCACAATATATAACAATTTCAAATATGATGCATTATTATTCATTAAACTATCCAGGATCATACTGGAATTGAACGCTCAAGCTTGAACCGACCTTAAGTACATTTAAGTAACGTCACATAGCGCTGATGATGCTTCTCGTTCACTCTTCAATGGAAGTAAACATTTGAATGCAGGACTTTTACTCTGCTGTATTAATGGTTTTATTATTAATAGTCAATAGTTTTACTTCTAAAGTAAAGTTTCAAGTAAGCTTAGTTCTTCTTCAACTGCCAATATCAACATTCAACATGTTAGGAGTGTGAAAAGTAAAGCTGGATGACGTTTAACTGGGGCTCCCAAAGCTGCCCCCGAAAAACACACCCACGTGGCGGTTACTCGCGGTCACAAGACAACCATCAGTAAAATACACTAATCGGAGGTAATGTCATTTCCAAATAGGTGTATTAATCGCTTGCTTTAAAATAACCATCATGGTTCTAAAGTAGAGCATGGATTTTAATTGACGGAGGTATTTTGCTGGTGGTAACGTTATTAGTGCCACCCAAGTCGTGCCTTCTCGCGGTATTAATATTGAACGTGTTTACATGTCATAATTGCACCAAATTCTACATGGGACTCCCTTGGTTCCTAGAAAAACACCTACCAAGTGTGAAGTAGACTGGATGAGCAGTTCTCAAGATAATACAGGGAACACTCAGAGACAGAGACACAGACAGAGATTACTGGCTTTAGAGTAAGATATTGTCAACTCGTCTCTTCTTCCTGTTGTCATCTCAGTGCATATCTGAGGATTCGGCTGTGGCTACACATGAGTTTGAGCTACTCTGAGTTGATATGAAGTGCAGCTGTTATCAATCCTACTGTGAATCAATTTGCTCCTGATAAAGACCTCAGCGGATGGGATTTGACATATTTTCAATAGGCTGATTAGCAGAGAGGGAGACAGAGAGAAAGATGAGCTCAGAGGAGAGGGATGAAAAAGTCACCAAATGAGGAAAAAACAGTGACATACAGTAGAGAGAGATTAACAAAGGTGAACAGAGGTGTAGCCTCAGCAGAGCAATCCCCCTCTCCTCAGCAAACCCAGTTGTTGCTAGGCAACCCAAAATATGAATAGGCAGGGGACCATCCTGCGAACGGGCCCCATCATTTATGGATGAGTTACAGAACAAATCGCAGACACACACTGGCACACGCTCTTTGGCTGAGCTTTGGTAAAGCCACTGTGACCATCTGACATTTCAACACCAGCCAGATAAACCGGCTGAGATACCTGGAGTGTGTGTGTGTGTGTGGGACTCTAACAACATGTGCAACGACAGGCCAAATCCAACCATATTCACCCAGGACTCAATACAGTGATTACAGGGCATACCGCCTAGCTCTGTGTCTGTGTGTTTCAATCCCACATGCCAGACAACAATCACAACCCCCCCCCCCCCCCCCCCTTCATCGAACAGCTTCTGTCACCATTCATTTTCAAGTTTTCGGCCTCACAACAAAAACAATCTTCCCTTCCTCCCTTCTTCCTCGTACTTCAAAGAACTGTCATGAAGATAGCGATGGGGGTGGTGAGGGCTTTGGAAGTGAGCGGTTAAAGGACGGGTGGGGTTGGGGCGCGGTGAGCTGGCAGGTAACTCAAGAGCTACATTTAAATGTTGTGGCATTTATAGTGTACAAGAGAGAGAGATAGAGGAACTATCTAACAATGATTATGAGCTAGATTGAGATTAATGATGCTTTTTAGAGGTATATGCTTCACACATTGCCGTGTGTGTGTGTGTGCGTGTGTGTGTTACCTAGGATACAGCCCAACTCCAATCTCCTGCAGCTCTCCGTCACTGATGGTGAAACAATTACATGTCACCTAAAGGAGAGGAAGAGGATACAAAAAGTGGAGACGAGAGGGATGATTTGTTAAATTGCCTCAGGGAACCAACAACACCTTTCATCATATGCTCTGAACATTTTTTTCATGTCTTTGGCACCTGCAAAACCCCACTGGCACTGCAACTGAAACATGACATACAAGGGTTTTGCTTTGAGATGCAAAGGATTTGAATGTGTTAAATTACCACCTGGTTATGTTAGAGCCAGGGGAATTATTTCTTTGAAAGGATAATAAAAGATTTTTAAAATAAAATACATATCTGTAATATTTTTCATCAACCAAGTCAACAGAACATTGTATAGCGTCAGGTGGTTTTAAATAGAGAACAAGTGGAATATTTTTGTTTCCTTCAGGGCCTGTGGAAATGAGAAAGTGAAAACATTCGAGAGTAAATGTTTAAAGACGGTATTCCTTGAAAACTACACTGAAGAGACAGATAAAAGAACAACTAGCAATTCCTGTGGAACAGAGCTGATATGAAAGTAATTTACCCCATCAACTTGATCAATGTTTGAGAGACAGGAGGAAAGAACAGAGCAGTATATCAGATTTAAACAACTGATGGAGCACTGTAGACTGTAAAGCTAGTGACTGTTTAGATAAACTATTATACTGTACATGCAGTATACTGTTAGCGTAATTTAAAGACTTTTAAGAGGCCTTCTACAGACTGCAACACTATGTATGTACTGTACGTATTATGTATGTATGAGTGAATGAATGTAGTTGAATGTGATTACATCTTATATACAGGCATCACGTCTTCACGCTTACACTTGTTTTTAGGTGTAGAGTGATGATGATGATGATGATATATTGGAAAATAAACTTCCTTTTCATTAGTAGAAACTGACCAAATGGTACAAATGGAGCCAAAATGATCACAACGTGCCCAATCGAACAAAAAGTACAGCGAGACTCCTCAATGTCACATTGTAAGGTTATCTAATTAAGTTCAAATACTATGATGAACATTTTAATTTGGGACAAATCAAGTATTGACATATATTTATCTAAATCCTTACACATTGTTTTAAACACAAACCTAACCACAAAACACAAATCAAATCAACAGTGAGTCGAGGATCTTTCCTCCTAAAACTACAAGACACAACTCAAACTTAGACTCAATCTAACTTTATCATGAATCTAAATACTGATCATGATTTAACACGTATGTGTATGAACCTCCCACAATGCACCTGGGTGGTCTGCAGGATTTAAAGGACACATTTCAGGAACAAATGAATGAAAGAGTCCCAGCTTTCAGGAGACGAAGGAGAGATTTCAAATGAGGGAGAGATGGTTTGTTTCTTTTAACTAACAGAGTTGGCGCAGAGAAGGTTTGAATAACAAAATGCTGGAAGAAGTTGTTTCAAAGTTAGAGACAGAGAGTGATGATGAAAGGGAAAAGCAATAAACACTAAAACATAAAATAAGTGAAAGATTATAGAACAAAAAAATAATCGAAAAAAGGTCTTTGATGTGTCAATTACTGAGCTAGTGCTGGTAAACAAGTGTGTTTGAGTGTGCTGGTGGTCGTGGTGTGCATGTCTGCATGGGGTCGAAGAAAGTAGATGAATGATTTCAGTAAGATTAGTATTCAGAGTAAAGATAAAGAGGCAGACAGAGGTACGCAGAGAGGGAGCGTGAGATTTAAAGTGAGCCAAAGACAGATGTTCTCCTGCTTCACACCAGGATCAGAACTCAGCAAGATAGATTTAAATATGCAGTTTTATTAAACAACATAAGAGTCGGGTCTCATGGGAAATGAGGCTTTTTACTCAACCTATTAATTATAAAGACGACCGGAGAAAACATGATTACATAGAAAATCACTGAAACACACACAAATCATTGTTTCTTCATATCCCACACACTTCCTTATTCAGTTGTTCTCACAATCATCCATCATCTGTACCATAAAGCATGTATTAAAGTGGGAGAGAAAGACACATCATACAATATGGCAATATGTTATATATGAATTACTATACATTAAGGTATAAAAGCACTGTAACTTCTGTATTCTTCAACCAGGACCCTAGTTTCCCCACGTTTATGTGTCTTAGCTCATGGGGACAACAATTTTTGAAGTTGGTCCAGTATTTGGGGAGAACGCAGACGGCAGTCGCTAAACAGGCTGCAATGTAACCGCTCGGGGCAACTCCTCACCGTCGATGTAAGTCCACTAAAAGTGGTATGTTTATTTTTTGTCATTTATTAATTCATTTTGCTTACGTCATACACCTTTCTCCTGTCAAGGAGTCCCCCACAGTTTTCACCTCATTAGGAAAAGGCAGCATTGGTTAGTGACAGTGGGGATGAAGGGACGGCCGTGCAGAGAGAACAGAAAGGATGGTTTTGAGAAGAGGGAGGGGGTGATGAAGTGTAGAGGAAATGTAAACAAACAGTGGTAGGGCACTCAGCTGGGCATAGATCTCTCTCTGTCACGCACACACACGCACAGACACACACCTACACACACGCAGACACATACACACACACTCTCTCTCTCTCTCTCTCTCTCTCTCTCTCACACACACCCCTCTCTCACCCTCTCTCTCTCACACACACCCTCTCTCTCCCTCTCTCTCTGGATAAGAATCATCTGTGCAGAACATCCACATCTGAATCTCATTCCTGTGTTTCTATTTGTCTCATGCAGCTTCCTCTCCTCCCTCACTGACTCCTAACCTCTCTTCCTGTTTTCATTCTCTGCCTCTTCCTGTCTGCACGAAAGTAAAACTAAATTAAAAAAATTCTACAGACGCAGGACGGATCACTTCATCAGACTTAAAATGTGATCTATTGCAGCTGGTGTCCCCACATTGTATTTTTACGGTGGCAGTAGAAATAAACTGATGAGTCGATCAATCAATCAACAGAAAATGAATACATGCCACGTGCAATCCTTCGCAGTACTAGTATATACAGGTATGCCTGGTGTGCTGCAGAATTATAAATCAAGCATTACTGTGCTACAAACCAGTCCCAGGTAGGCGTGAGAACACTTGATCAATCATTCAGAAGTATAATTGTTGACCTTTGATATTTTTTTCCGTTTCACAGAAATGTGCCTGATGTATAAAATAACTCGTGGTCTTGTGCCACCACCACTTCAACAATGTTAGGGAGACCAGGGGATGAGCCAGAGGTGACCCTAACCCTATGCAAATGAGCTACAGTTGTGTGAAAAAGTGTTTGCCCCCTTCCTGATTTCTTATTTTTTAGCATGTTTGTCACACTTAAATGTTTCAGATCATCCAACAAATTTAAATATTAGACAAAGATAACACAAGTAAACACAAAATGCAGTTTTTAAATGAAGGTTTTTATTATTAAGGGGGGAAAAAAATCCAAACCTACATGGCCCTGTGTGAAAAAGTGATTGCCTATATTCCTATAGAATAAGCTCACTGGTTTCGAGGTGTTATATGCATTTGAGAAGCGTATTACAACAGTAATAGCAATAGTAATATAACCATGTCATCAGTAACCATGGGGACGGCTGTTCTCTACTTTGATGAGAGATGTTGAGAGTCTCCCACAGTTGACCTGTTTATTTATAACCTCCCCATTAATAAAGAGAGCCCTCCACAGCAGCGAGTGTGGGTTCAGATGAGGTGGTGAAGTGCCCGTAAGGAGGGACCAGTTTGAGAGAAAGCCAGAGAGTTACAGTGTCTGGAGGGCTACTTTCTATCCATCTTCAGTGAATGAGCTCCAGCTAATAAAGCAGATATTCTTAACAGCAGGCTCTTAATGGGGATTGCAGGCCTGATATGATTCAGCTCCTGCCATTCCCACTGTGGAGAATTAAACAATTACTGCATCTGTACAAAAGATATCAAAGTGTGCATTTTGTCCCGAAGGCTTTTCTTCAAGACGGTGCAGAAAATGTCAGTCCCCACAGCCATTCATTTGTTTGCTCATTTATTTTTCTGCCTGTCACACACAATATTTCTGCTGATTAGATTTGGATGAAATGTGTAGAAATGATGAATGCGAGATAGAGGAACAGAGGCAAAGACAGGCGGACGAGTGAAGGGTGTGAAGAACCCGTGATGTGGAAAATAAAAAGATCAAAAACACACAAAATGTCATCTTCTGGGGGGGGAATAAAAAACAAAAAAATGTCACTTTTTTATACTCATGATATATTTTGTACGTCATACTGTCAGTTCTGAAAACACTATTGTAAAAAACAAATAGATATTATTACAAAGATACAGACATACACAAGTACTACACTGAATTCAATACTTCAGTTCTACCAAAAAGGTAAATATTTAACTTGTAGTTTTTAGTTAAATGGATAACGTGTACTCTGTAATGAATCTGTAAATGTCATAACTTCAACATCAAACCCCCAAAAGCAAATCTCAAAACTTACAGTATTCAAACTCAGTCGGACATATCCCCCCCACCCCGTATTTAAACAGATGAGACTGTCCTTCCAAGAAGAACTACAGCGGCAAAAACGACATGTTTTCATTCAACCAACAAAGCGCTCTAGTGACCGTAGTAATTGGTTTTTCGTTGCGACTTGGTGTTTCGTTTAACCTTGATGCTACAAACACGCACAAAGGCGCTTATGCTCAATGTCCTGTTTGTTGCATTATTCTCATAAACGGCAGAGGGCGGACAAACAAAATGTACAGTGAAGAAGCAAGAAGTCAACGAGTGTTACCGGCAAAACGTCAAAAACAGGATGTCGTGGACGAATCGTAATTAAGTGTAAACTTGTTGTTTTTGCTCACTGATGATGTCAAAGTTCATATATTATGTTGATCTCCTCCCCACACTTTATCTTCTGTGATCTCATTGCACTAATGGGGATATTTCTTTTTTAAGTTCACTTCCCGGGGAAGCGGCACATTCGCCAAAGTGCCAAAGTGGTCACGGTGCTTAATCATGCACCTCTGATTTTTTGTAACTATGCGTGAACAGCGCGCATGATTCGAGCTTTTCAGATA